AGCTCTGAAACATTTGGTTCCTTCAGAAAGAAGAAGCTGCTGCGTCAAGCAGAGAATTCTCAAACACCTTTCCCTCATTCACAAAGGGAAGCTTCCTTCTAGCACCCCTCTAAGATGCCTAAATTACACTTTTTAACTACTAAACCAAGAAGAGAAAGACTGGAAATTCAGGGGCACTGGAGAACACCTGAAAGAACAGCATTTGCAGAACCAATTGCAAACCATACCACATAGTTTAAAAACAACAACAACAACAAAACCAGGGGTATGAGAAAAAGCAATACACCTACGAAGTTGACCCTGAAACACTTAAGCTTTTCCTGTTCCTGTCTCAGGAACTTTTACTCCTCTCTCAGCAAAGCTTACAGGGCAAGTTCAGGCACTCAGATTACAACCAACTGCCCAAACCAGACCTAGACCTGCCCAAACACCAGAAGAAGCTGGAGAGCTTAATGCTACCTCTCCCCACCTTCCTACCCTGCCCCAGAAAAGAAACGGTGTTAACATTCAATTTATGAACATCCACTCCTCACCCCTTTCCTAATCTACCTCCAAAATCCTCTCGTGGAGATTCTGAAAGAACTATTTTTCAAGTCTTGCCTAATGAAGTCTGCCTAAGTTTTTCAATTACAACTTAGTGTTTTAATACCACAAGCCAGGTGGAATGACTAATAACAAACAGATTAACAGACTCAAAGCAAAGGAGTCTGACAGGCCTTTTCTGCGAAGGGCCACAGACACAGTGGTACCCAACTATTTAGAGCTTGATTCTGTAAATCCTCAAGAGAAAACAGCCTCGAGTTCCATGAGCCCAGGGGAAGAAAGATGGTCTCCAGATCCCTATCAAAAAAGGTACAGAAGAGGCTGCCCTCCTAACAAGCCAGGTATGGAAGCACAGACAGATCCGTAGCATCAGAGAGGAAGGTCATGCAGTCCGAGGGAGAGAAAATGAACAGAGAAGGCAAATGCCCCGCCCAAAGTCACACAGCTTAATCCAGAGCTGCATATGGAGCCAAAGCTCCTCTTCCTGAGTCCTCTGCTCATGACCCCTCACTACTGCGCCACACGCAATTCGATGTACAACAGTAATGATAATGACCAATCTAACCAGGGAAAAACTCAAGAGATTTAAAAAGCAAAGGGAATTTAGGACTCCATATCAGAAATCAAGGTATCACTCCAGCTCACTGGCAGAAAAGAACTGTTCAGTGCCAATTTATTCTGAATACCGTATTTGCATGCTTCAGATCCTTCTAGAATTTTGGGATCTGTAGCCAATCAATACAACTTTTTGAGGGACGGGGATGGGAAAAGCCCCTGACCATTACTTTGTTAGCTGATTCCCACATTTCAAAAAAGGTTCACTAACTTTGTAAAAGGCCTTCTAGAGACATCACACCCTACAGGAGTTAATCTAACATATGAATGTTTAATGCAATCCAGGACATCTTGTTACAGCAGGTGCCACTTGTCATGGTAACTCTGTGTCACACACAAAGGAAGGAACCTTAAAAAGTCCCCACAGGGCCCAATACAAAGAAGCCAGCCTTGGTTCTGACAGCTTTCTCTTCTTTCACCATCAACCCCACTTCATCACCCCCAGTTCTCTCGTGGAGAGCAGAGACACATGAAGCCCCTACAACTAAGTGCTGTCTCAATGTGGTTACCCTGATCCCTCCTACTTGAGAGAGCTCCAAGAGTCCTGTGTTTCAGCCAGCCCAGAATTTCTGCCAGTAGGCATTCCCATAATAAGCCTAGGATTCCTGTGTTTGTTTCCCAGGAATCGGAAGTATCATTTGATATTTCCATAGCAGGAACTAACAGCCAAGCTTCCACAATCAAATTCACTTTGATCCTGGACTACATATTCTATTGGCTTTTTTTTTTTACTTTGATGAGCTGGTACTACTCTCAAGGTACTATAGCTAAAAGCATCCCAAGTAAAAAGCTTTAAGTGATGTTCAGTCACATAGGTGACTAAAAAGTATTTCATTACTAGCAGGATACAACTCTTTCAGATACAATTTTACTTATGAATGGGCATAAAGGAAAAGTTGGTTTGCTGGGATCTTTCCAGCTCCTATAAAAAAGACATAGCCACAATATACACACTTATCTAATCTTTCTTTCATAAAGGCAGAGTCAAAGGAGAGCATTACTATCTTAGATGTGTTAATCAAGCATCTACAAAAAAACTGTTAATTCAAGACTGAGGGAAAGAAAAGAACAGAGCAATATCTTATTAATTAAGAATGTTAAGAATAGGCCATCATGGTCTGACAAGAAATTTATCCTTAAGTAGCAAAAAGGAATTCAGTATGAAACCCATCCACCTACAACCTTCATCTAGATGACATATCTAAAGCAACCTACAAAACTGGAAGCTGCACTGTCTCTCCTAAGACTGAATGCTCTCCAGCCCATGGCTGTGGGTCTCGGGAATAGGCAAATGAACTGAAATCCAACAGGAATCTATGTTGTGTGAAGTGCTAAGCCTGGTCATGTTAAAAGGGAGTCAGAAAATTTGCCTAAAGGCAGCATAGACAAGCTTCTAAACAAGGACTGTATCTACTTTCCCACCTCTTTACCCAGTATAGAACATAGTACCAAGAACATAGAGAATGCTCAAACATTTAATGACTGAAAAGCAGAAAGTGCTTTATGGTAAACACTAATTAAAAGAAAAATTTTGCCTGAATATCCCCAAACTTAAAGAATTCAAATTGATTTTTGTTTTTAAATGAGCCTTGACTTACCCCAAATTTTTCCTCCAATGGTTTAAGAAAGGCAGATTTCTCAGCCCTCTTTCCCCCTCCTCCACAAATAAACGGGGAATGAGGGAAAAGAGATATAAACTATAGAATGATCCAGAGACCAAGAGGATGTTCTAAAACAAAATTTATCCTCCAAACACTAGGAATCCAATTTAAAATTCTCGTATTTCTTGCCCAGATATAGGACATCATGGAAGACATGGAGTCAAGGCACAGACCTCTAAACCTGCTATCTGATACAACTACTTTAAAAAATCCCAGGTCCAAGTAACAGTGGAAAAGCAGTTCTAGGATGGGGAGGGAATATATATATAATTACGCCGCTTAAGTGAACGAGATCTCACAGGACAAAGGTATACCTGGGTACTGCTGAGAGAAGGGCAGGCATGAGAAAGGATCGCGCCCTTTTCCCTCGCTTTGGAAAGATGAGATGACTCCAGAGAATACCCAATATTCCTGACCAAAGCATTCAGGACAGAACACGATGAAAGAAGAGCAAAATGAAGCAGAATGCACAGAAACATACCTAAAAGTTGTCATTTCTAAGCAAATCTTAAGTATCATTGCAGGTCATATTTTTATTATCTTGGAAGACAGAAATAAATGGAACTTAAAATGCAGAGGGAAAAAAAAAAAAAAAAAAACTGACCTGTATTTCAAAGCTGTAAAATGATGACAAAAGAGAAAACTGGGTTTTTTTTATATTCCAGGAATAAATGATAAATTTCACCAAACCAAGCCTTTAAGAAACAGTCCCTCTCAAGATCGTGAAAGATGTCCTTCCCTTTAAATTGAGCTGCTCTCCCAAAGTTTAATTAACAAAAGAAAGTGTTAACAAGATTCAACATGTAAACAAAGAATGTCGCCAGCCTTCCTTAGAACACTTAAATGGGAAATTCTCAGAAAGCCTCCAGTTCTCAAAGTTTTCTCTTACCCCCTCTGATAAAGATCCCACATTTGCCACTCAATAAAAAGCTCAGTAAAATAATTTCAATTCTGCAAAGCGAACAGGGTCAAAATTACTCAAGACAAACGCATCTTCAGAGCCATCAAAGAAGTCATTTATACCATCAGGAAAGTCACAAAACCAAAACAAACAGCAAACCCATTGTAGAGAAAAACTCAGCTACTGTTCGGATAACACAGAATCTATTTCAGGCTGCATAAAACATAACAAGCAAAATAAATCCAAGGTACAAGGAAAATGCCACTGCCTCCTCTTTTGTTCCGGGCACAATGTAACAAGGGCAGCCTGTCTGGGGCTCTGCTCCTGCTGATACAGTATTGCTGCTTAAACCTCCCTCCTCAAGGTCACAGCCAATTTCAGCTCTGGAATAAAAGGCAGATAGTGGCAGCGATGGTTTGGGTTATCACTGGCAGAAAAGCAGAGTGTAAAAGTTTATGAGCTCATCAGGATTGTTGTACCATTACATCAGAGGCAATTATAAATGGCCAAGAGCAGGAGATGGGGAGCCAATCAGATCACAGATAGGATGTCAACCTAAGACCAACTGTCTCCTGGCTTTGACAGAAGGATTTTACCTCCATAATTCAAATCCCAAACCAAAGCAATCTGCACTTACTACTCCAATCACTCAGCTGTTTACCAGCACTTCCAGGGAGAAGCCCAGGCCACTGGGCCGACGGAGACTAAGACAGGAGACGACCCGGGCTGCCCAGGGTGAACCGAAGCCGGCCTCTAGCTGCTCCCAAGCAGGCCCCTACCCTCCCTCGAGGTCCCCCCGAGCCCGAGGGGCCCCCTCCTTGAAAGCACAGATGGGAACCGGCCTAGAGGAAGGTAGGGAGGGCAGAGAGGAGCGGCAGGTGAGCAAAGAACTGTTCACTCAACTCCCGACCTCCAAGCGCTGCCTACACCCCTAACCTGAGCCCCCAACACCCCCTCACCCCGGGCCGGGCCCTTTTCCCGCACACCCGGCTCCGCACCCCTCTGAAGACCCCCCAGAGCTGGAAGGGACCAGGGGAGGAGGAAGAGGAGAGCAGACACCTCAAGGAAAGCCCCACACAAAGGCTGAAGGAGGGAAAGAGAGGAAGGCAGACGGGCAGCCATTTTAAGAGAGAAAGAGCGAGACAATGGCAGCTCCCCAGCAGTGGGGGCCCCAGACTGGGGGTAGCCCACGGCCGTGGCCCGCTCCCCGCCGCCGCCACCCATTCCCAGGACCCCCCCCCCACTCGCCACAGCCCCCCCACCCCACTCAGCCGTGTTACCTGCGGGGTCCGGGCGAGCGGCTGCCCCCCGCCGCCGCTGCTCCCAGGGCTCATGGGCGCGTGGTGGCTCCTTTGTTGGGCCCCTCCCGAGGCGGCCGCGGCCGCCGCCGCCGCAGCAGCAGCAGCCCCCCAGCACTGCGAGGCCATGTCCGCCGGGCCCTTGCCGGCGCCCCCGTCCTGGGGCCCGCCGCCGTAGTCGCCCCCGGGGTAGCCCTGGTAGCCCCGGGCCGAGCTGGGCGACGTGAGCAGTTGGTTGAGGGTGGGGGTGGCGGTGGGCTGGGGGGTTCCCCCTGCGGCCGCTGAGGGGCCGCCTCCCCCCATGGCCCCGAAGCGCTGCTGAGCGAAGGACGAAGACGACGAGGAGGCGGAGGCGCTGGAGGAGGGAGGCGGCTTGGAGCCGGCGGCCGCCGCCGCCGCCGCCGCGCCGGAGCCCGGAGTGCCACCTCTCGGGGAGCTCAGCGCGTAGGCCTGGGGGGGCGGGGGGTAGGCGCTGCGGTTGGGGTAGTAGGAGTTGTACTGGTGGTTGGGGAAGCCGTGGTCGTGCGAGTTCTGCTGGGGCCCCGCGTAGGGCTCCAGGCCCCCGCCGCCGCCGCCGCTCTGCAGCGCTGCCAGGCCAGGGCTTTGTTGTCCGCCATGTTGTTGGTGGAAGACGGCGGCCGCGGCGGCGGCGACGGCAGACGGGCTCCGGCCGTAGGGTTGCCCGAAGCCGTAGGCTGGGGGCGGCAAGGCGGCCGCGGCTGAGTGAGGAGGCGCCCCCACCCCGTCGCTGCTGCCGCCGCCACCGCCGCCGGGCGGCTCCGTGAGGTTATTGTTCAGGGCGGGCCTAGGGCCCGCGTTCCCGTTCGAGTTCTTCAGGTCCGGCTCCGCGCCGGGCCCGCCGGCTCCGCCGCCGCCGCCACCCCCATTGCTCTCGGCCCCGTCCTGCAGCTCCTTTCCCAGTGGCTGCGGCGGCCCCACGGCGGGGCCCTCGCTTTCCTGCCCGGCGGCTGCCTTCATTTCCCCGCGCTCCGCCGCCGCCGCCTCGCCCCCCGCCTCCTCCCGCTGCTGCTGCTGCTGCTGCTCCGCTTTCTTCAGCTCCGAGGGCGGCGGCGGCGGGTTGCCCAGGCTGCTGGCGGCGGCGGGGGCGACCTGCGCGGCCATGATCCCCGCTGTCTCGTCCGCGGAGAGACCCGGCCCTGTCCTCGTCTTCTCTCACCCCCCTCCCACCCCACCCCGCCCCGGGGCCGAGTCCCCCCGGGCTTCCCTCCCCACCCGCCCGGGCGGGCCTCGCGGGGCTCCGCGGCTTTTGCGCTGCGCTCGCTCGCTCGCTCGCTCCTCTCCCCCCCGCCCCGCCGGCTCAGGCTCCGGGCTGGCGGCGGCGGCGGAGGAGGAGGAGGCGGCGGCGGCGGCCGAGGCGCCGGCGGCTCAGCTGCTCCCGGCTCTGTAAGCTCGGGACCCGGCTCTCCCGGCTCATTCCCCCCCAAGCCCTTGCCTGGGAATGAGGGGGGCGGTGGAGGCTCCGCTCCCCAGGGCCTGGCCCCGCTGTGACTCTCCGCTTTCTGCTGCCGGAGAAAGGAGGGAGGGAGGGAGGGGAGGGAGGGAGGCGAGGGGGAGGGGGCGGGGAGGGAGGGAGGGAGCGGGGGGAGGGGGACCCGGGACGGGCGGGCTGGAGGGCGCGCGGCAGCAGCCCGGGCGCCGGCAGGCAGAGTCGGAGCGTGGGCCGGGCCGGGCGCCCTGCCTCCCCTCCCCGGCCGCGGCGCCGGGCCGAGGCTGCTGCGCGGCGGCGGGCGGGCGAGCGGGCGGGCGGCCGGACTGAGCGGCTAGAGCGCCCCACTCTCCTCCGAGTCCCCCTCACTCCGACACGAGGCTCAGCACTGCCATTTTACCCAGCGCCGTCGCGGCCGCCTGGCAAACCCGGAACGGAGCGCGGAGCGGGGCGCAGGCCGTGGAACGGACTCGCTCCCTTCCCCTCACAAAGGAGGAGGGGAGAGAACCAGCCGCGGCGGCGGCGGCGGCGGCAGGCGCTCTGCCGCTCTCGCTCGGCAGCGCCGCCGCCGAAGGCTTCGGGGAAAACCCGGCCCGGAGCTCGCGCCTCTCCGGAGCCTGCGTGCCTCCTCCCTCCTGGCCTCCCTATCCAGGTCGGTCCCCTCCGCGCCGCGGGCAGCGTGAACTTTACTCGCGGCTGCAAAATTGGCCTGAGCCCGAGACCGCGACCGCCTCGGCCCAGGCCTGACCCCCCCCCCCCCAACCCCGGCAGCGGGCCTGGTCTCTTGGCCGCTACTTAGTATGTCCGCGGCACTTTTCCTTCTTCAAAGCCTTTTGCAGACCTGCTCCAAAGACCCAGCTGAGCTTTACGTTGTATCCTCTTTGCTAGCTGCATGGAATGACAGATCACTGTTTCAGACTGTCCGGTTTCCCACTCTCTCTAACCTCATTAGCCGGTCCTCACAGGCCCTAGGGGCATGAAGTCCCTGATCCCCATTTTACAGAGTCCTAAGACAGCGTAGGGGACGGGCCTGTCACTTAGCCTATCACTTACAAAGACGAGGGCAGTGGAGGGTGACTTTAAAAAGTAGTAGAGTACCCAATGCTGCCCCTGTCTACTTAGCATTAGAAATAATGGTAATAAAAAGAAAAGTGGTCAAGTGGTGCCATATACAACAGTGGGATCAGAACATCAGAATGGGTCTGAGATCAAAACTGGCCATCTCAACTGATATGGTCACCCCTGAAGATATTTTGGGGACATATGACAGCCTTCTTGCAGGAAGACACAAGCCCCACCTTTGCCCACAATGACCAAGGGCCCCAGTCTCCAAAGACTACCTGTAAGTAAGACTGTAACAGACCACAGAAGAGACTCCAGGGACTGGTGGAACCTGAATGTTCAAAGGAACCACTGCCGAACAGGGATGACCAAATAGAGGGAACTATTTTCTCCTTAAAAAGAGAAAAGGTGCAGTCTAACACCTCACTCAGAAAATAGATGCAACCTAAATTTGTTTTTCTATCCTTCACTGTAAGGAATCATTAAATTTTACTGTTACATTCTAAGAGATGCTGAGTGAACTGGAGGTATACACAGAAAATTCTAGATTCACAGGCTCCACCTCATCTCAGCAGCGGCCTTGTCCTCCTCTGACTGACTTAGAATACTCTGACATGACAGGCTACACAGGCCAGAGGGGATACCAGCTCCTCACCAAGCCCAGGGCTGCCTTGAGAGATGCTAGGTCAGCTAGTCATTGGACACCAGGGCTTCATCCCCGCTTAAATGTTGTAAATAGACACTTCATGGCCACAGAACCATTACCTTAGAATTTCCAGATTCCGCAGGCCCCTGGAGTTTTTTGGCTGTGCCACTCACTGATCACTGAATAATTCCCAAACCTGAGCTCATTCTTAACCCCCAGAAAACCTAAGATCATCTTACACTAAAAAGGCACAAACTTATGACTCTTAAGAGTGGTGTTTTCTTCCCCTCAAGCCAAGAACCAAACCAGCCTACTAGGATCTAATTGACTGGAATGGACCAGTGCCCTCCTTTCATTCACAGTCCTCAGGGGCAACAACTCTCCTGGTGCATCAGGTCCTAGAAACCAAATTATAGGCTGCCTCAGAAATGGAGCTTGGCTATTTAATCAACTGCCTCTGAGCTGGCAAACAGTCCTGACTCCTGCACACAAATGAAGAATTTTTTACATGCAATTACCCTGCCATTTCCCTCAGAGCTGGAGTGTAATGAGAAACCTGGAGCCCAGTGAAAATCTGGAAGCCAGAATGAATTTGTCCCCAGAGGAAGCCCTGATCCCCCTTCTTCAATGGCTGTGAAATTTGGTCAGTGACAAAATCCCTTTCTGACACGTGGGCACGCTGTTTTGAAAACAGCCACCATCTTTATCTAGCAATAAAGTGCACAAAAATCTATCCACTTGGGTTGGAGGAGGTAATGTAGGATTTCTCCTTTCCCACCTTTTTTTTTTTTTTTTTTAAATTTCAAATCCTTTAGGATCCTCTCCACGGCTACCTCTAGAGCCCACATCACTGTCCCAGGGACAGCCGAGTGGACGGGAACTTTCTTAGAAACTGGCCCATCAGCTTTCCCTAGGGGCAATGGCAGCGGGAAAGGGGGGGAGGGGAGGAGTTGGGCACGTGGCTGGCCCGAGCTCCGAGACCCGGGTTTGGGACTGAGGGTCCTCCCGTTGGTGGAGTTTTCTCCCCCACGGCCCCTGCCTTTTAACCCCACACCCAGGCAGCTCAGGAATCCCGGCGCAGATTGGAGAACTAGGACTAGGACAGCGCTACCCGCACGAAAGCTCCAGTGCCACCAACAGCCTGATGGCAAATATGGACTGAATCGTTGACATGGAAACCGGACTAAAGTCTCGCCCGCTCCCTCACGAGAGAGTTCTTATCGCCGTCCCCGACCGCACGGCACTTGGCAAACGTGGACTGGATCTCCGGCCCGGAGGATCAGGCGGAGTTTTCTGCGCTCAGCCTTAACTCCCGCGGCTGCCGCAGCCAAGGAAGGGGGGCAGGGCTGCCAGGACAAACCGACTGAAAATGGCAGAGGATGTGCTCTCATTTAATCTGGCTGCATGGTGTGCATGGATTGGGCCTGAGAATAAGGGAGCAACCTATTAAAATCCACGCAGTCAACTGCAAAATGTGGAACCCAGGCCTGGAGGGTTTGCTGAGAGATGGAAACGTTTGCAAGGTGGACAGCCTTTCCTTTCTGGCTATTTGCTTCCCCTAAGTGTCCGAAATACAAAATTCCATAAACAAAAGATCGGGCCCGGCTCCCTCTTTTCTCCACTTTTTTTTTTTTTTTTTTTGAAGGAAAACGTTTATGTCCAGGGACCCAAGTGAGGGTTTGCCTAGGTTCTGGCGGGGAAATCGGGTGGAGCGCCGGGTGGTGGCCCTGCACGCGTCTCAGCCGCGGCGAAGCAAGCAGACACCCAGCAGAGCTCTCCCGAGTGAGAACTGGAGCTGCGAGTTTGAGCAAAAGGGCAACTATGTCAGTTGACGGAAGCCAGAAGCAGAGCTCAAAGCCTGGCGTGGATTTCCGTCTGGAGCTGTCTGTTTCTTAAAGTTTGTAACTCCGTGTTCTGAAACAGCCCCAGCGGAGGCTTTGGGAGCAGTGTGAAAGTCTAGCACTACCATCTGACAGCGAGCTGCAAAACTTTGGGCTGCATATTAAGCGAGGAAAGTGGATTGAAGCAAGAGTCAAGGCAATTCATTATATTGCCGGCTTCCAGGCGGGAGCTGTAAGATACGAACTGGATCTCCACGGAGAAAAATGGAACGGAATCCGAGTGGCGCTCTCAACAGACCCTGGTAAAATTGCGCTTGCCCAGCACCTAGAATTCCAAAGAAGCAAGTCCAGAGGTAGCAAGCATGGTTGTGGCTCAACAACTGCTTGTCTCGATCCTTTTGCCATTCATTTTAAAGTTTTAAAATAAACAACTTGAAGGAATTTATCTTTCAGAATAAGAAAGAACACATTTGGAGAAATGTTAATTTCTCAATGAGTTTTTTTTTTTTTTTTCACCAGAAGAGGAGCCCTGCAAAAAAAAAAAAAAAACCTTAGGTATAAGTCAACTTGCTTTTTCTGTACCACTATAAAAAGAATTAGCCTCACCATCAATTACCCCAAAACTGAAATGTAAAATAAGATAAAGGTCCAGGCTGATCTGGATTGTGGTGGATTTCAAACAAAGCAAGGACTCAGAGTCAATCTAACAGGAAAAAGGCACCAATTCTCTCACACTGTAATATATACATTCTCCTTATCCACCTGTCTCATTGGTGAGCTTGCTGACGATTCTTTTGCAGAAGATAGTGTAAAAGTATTAATAATATTTTAAGACAAACCATTGCAGACTGGAGTTTTATAAAACCACTGAAAATATCAGGAATTTGGGCATTTCTGCTGAGCCTCCTTGAAGGTTTGTATTCACCAACTGACACAGAAACAGCATATTTGAAAAACCTACTTACAAAGAAGTTTGAAAGCCACTTTATAGTCCATCAGAAGACACAGGACAATTTTGTATTTAGCACTTAATACACAAAGCTGTTTTTAGATTTGGAGAACTAAACACAAACAACACACTCACAACACTACCAAAGAAAGATAAGGTCACCAGTTTTAATACAGAAGGTATTGCTCAGGAACAGGAAAAGTCTGTTTTCTTTGACTTCCCATATTAAACCAATACAGGCTGCTTTTGTTCTGCTTTATTCTTTAAAAACCAGTTTAGAACATTTCACACATGTAAAGTGATTGTGAGGCAAATTTTTGAAAGTTGAGAGTGGAGAAGAATATCAGAAAGAAAATCAAATATTCTAGGTGGGTATTTATTTCAACCCTGATTGCACAGAGCTTTCTTACACTGCCATTTTACTGAGATAGGAGAAAAAAAAAAGAGAGTGGGGAAGTTTCTCATAGCAACTCTGGAATGGATCTGGAATGGAGTCTTTTGCTCCAACACAAATCTGTAGAAGAGAGGTAGAAAGTAAAGGAAAAACCCAGTGAGCACTGACAAAATGGAAGGAGGCAGGGTGTACAGTCCTGTGAAACACGAAAGGAGGCTAAAGCAGCAAGTGTGCAACACAGCCACCTCAAGAGAACACTCCAGCATGATCATCCCAGGCTTTTTATGTAAGCATCAAGGAAAAGCCAAAGGAACTTACAAGGCATAAGGCAGGAAGTGAATGGCCCTTAAGGGAAAGCATTCCGAGCAGCTTTAAGAGAGTGTAAATCCATCTATCCCTACTGAAAAATGGCCTCTTCCGAAGATGAAAGTGGACCAATTGAGAAAGTCTGCTGTGGGGTATTGTAGTAGTAGTGGTGTGGTACTCCAGTGAAATGCAGAAATTGCCAGTGACACCAAGGGAAAGCTGCCAGGAAAAATTACAGTCGGTTTTGGCACTTTTCCAAATTATCACTTTTGCCCTGAAATTTAACAACATTGAAATGAAGCTACTGAGGGGCTGGGGGTGGAGACCAGTAGGTTGGTTCCAATTGGCTTACCCTTCGAAGAGAATCCTGGAGGCCCAGGTGTAAGTGTGTTGCTGTTCTTCCAGTCTTGCTATAGAGAGAACAGGAGACAAAGGTAAAACAACCTAATACACTGCATCAAGCCTACCCAAAAGACCATTTAAAAACTTAAACACACACAGAGACACATAAACTCACACACATTCCTCTCCACCACAGTATATTTTGTCTAATAGAGTCCATCAACAAACTATGTTCAAGCAAAAGAATACATTATATCACACAACATTAGGTATGATTTTTGCCCCAAACACCTAGATCATGATATAAAATACCTATTTTTTAATGTGAGGTCACTTTTGACCTCAGAACAAAGTCCAAGAGCTCATTTAATTTTTTCCCCAGGCAATCACAGTCACCTAAAAATATGGCAGTCTGTCCTACAAAACTTGGAGTTCATGACTGATGTTGTTCTGCTTTAGCCCAGCTAAAGCTGGAAGTCCAAAGTAACTAGAAAAGAAGAATTCTAATAGACTTGCACGTACTCTGGTTTTTTATGACTAGCAGCCAGTGTTTTCAAGATGAAAACATAGGAGAACTGAGATACTACATAACCTTCCTAAGATATTCTCTAGGACTTCCCTAGTGGTGCAGTGGATAAGAATCCACCTGCCAATGCAGGTCTGTGAATATTCCACAGGCCGTGGAGCAACTAAGCCCATGGACCACAATTACTGAGCCCATGACCTGCAACTACTGAAGCCCCTGGGCCTGGAGCCTGTGGTCTGCTACAAGAAAAGCCACCGAGATGAGAAGCCCGTGCGCTGCAACAAAGAGTAGCCCCTGCTGGCCACAACTAGAGAAAGCCCATGTGCAGCAATGAAGACCCAGCACAACCAAAAATAAATAAGTAAACAAATAAAATTATTTTTTACAAAAAGATATTTTCTAGGAAGAAGCTTAGAGCTGAGGAGGTCACAACCTGATTGGCTACTGAAATTTTTAATAATCTATTATGAGCACAAGTGGTAACTATTACAGTAAGTTTAGGTAGAAACCATTTTATAAATTTCACCAAGGGCACACAGTCTATACATTGAATATTCACCTTTCATGATGAAGCAACTTCACTCTATGCGCTTGCCCTTCTTCAGCAATCCTTGAGTTGCATGTGCTGTTCTGACCCAATTTCCACCCAAATGGGTCTTCTATTTAGGCTCCAAATTCCTGTAAGCATTTTATTTTTTCAACTAGAAATTAATATTATGATTATTGCCAATAATATCAGTATAAAACCATATTTATAAACCACACTAAGTAACGTGTTCCTTGTTTTAACTGTCTCCTAGGATACTTACTTATGCTATCGTTGGCAGTAGACATTTCTAAAGTCCCACAATAAAATTCAGAGGAGAACCCTGCCGTAGCAGTGGTGCTAGGACTAAATGCAACAGCAAACAGAAGCAATCATGTTGAGCCATAACTGTTCATTGACATCACTTTTTAACTGCCTGTGAGTGATCTGCTAATTGGATATTAATTAATTTAGTAAATGCTTCACCATTGAATACACTGTACTATCTAACCTAGTCTTTCTCTGTATAAACATATATATACACAAATCCTGATCAGGAATAGGGTTATATCAAACACATTCTACACTGCCATTTTCCAAACTACTTGAAACAGAACAAAAACATGGATAAGAAGGAATTTACAGGAATGAGGTACTAGAAAGACAACAAAAACTCTCTTAGAAGTGTAATTCTTAGGAGTGATTGGGGGTGGAAATGGAAGACAAAAAGTTAAAGGAAAACAAACTACCTAATATTCAAGGCAAAGAGCCAAGAGTTTGAAAATATCTCATCATTGGGGATAAAGGTCCAGACTTTCATTCTAAGTCAGATTTCCAAAAGGCTGTATCCATTTATAGATGGTAATGATCAAGATTTCAGACTCACAAAATCTAATCATGTGGACTATGTATGCTCTGAAGCATCAGAGCACAGGTTTTCCGTGAGTCAAATGACTGTCTTTTCACTGTGATGCTTTGAAACCAGTCTAGAAGTTTCCACATTTTTATTTTGGATGCTAGCCCTCTCATTCAGTTTACAGTAAGTGGAAGGTTCTCTGACAGTTACCCTGCTGTGATGTACAACACTGTAATATACACTACTTTTGTACATCCCCTAAATACAGTGTAGGGTGATCTCTAACAGGAAAGATATTATATAACTCCAAAACAGTATATACCTTTTTCCTTCAAAATTTATGAGTTTCTAACACTCAGAGCAAAATCCCTCATTTTGCAAGAATGTTGATGAATAAAGAGAAACAGGGAAAAACTTAAGACATGGCAATTCCCATTTTATGGGAACTTAAAGAGACTTTGGTGAGTACAAAGAAAATAGTGGATTTTAAAAGTACTTTGAGATCACTGGCCTAATTATCAAAGATATTCATATTACTAATGCTCTTACACTCAGGTTATATTTTAGTCATTTTTTCCCCCAGAGGAGAAGAGAATTGAGATAATTTCTCTCCTCCTGCTCCTCCTCTCCTTCTGTCTTTTTGTTTCAGTGTCACATAGGCTCTCACAATGGGTAATTGTACTTGGACTAAATGGCACAAAAATGTCCACAAGGCGCGATCTATGCCACACTGGCTACACTCGGAGCTCAGGCTTCTGTATGTCACAGTGCTTATGCCTGTGGTTCCTGGAAAGATTGGAGTCCAGTCCTCCTAAGGCAGGTATGTGGAATTAGGAGATATTTGTTTTACCTCTTTGGCTGACTCTGGGTTTAGAATGGTCTTTGGCCTTTAACAAGAGAAACAACTGTCCACCAAAATGAATGGCTAAGATGCACCAAACCAAATAATGTCCTTAATTGGCCAGATGAGAAAGGAAAGAACAAGTCTACTTAGAGTCCACCCCAGGGTAACTCTTCAGCAGAACCCTGGTGCTAGATGAGGAAACAGGATGCAGACTTCCAACCTTTTGATCCTTGCTATTGAAGAGAAGAATTTGGTCATTAAGATCAATGTTTAGGGGGTTTTTCAAAATTAGTGACCTGGGAAATCCCCAGCCAGCAGCTAGCACTTCCTCACTCCATGAACACGTGACTGTCCCTTCCAGGGGGTTGGTGTTTCTAGTTCAGCCTTTCTGAGCCCCTCATGCAACAGTGACATAAAGCAGAACAGTTAACAGAAGAAATTCTAAATATTCAAAGCTGCACTGAAGAGGCAGAACCCCTTGTTTCCTTTTTCAAATTTGAAACTATGTCTTCAACATAATTCTCCATAAAACAAAATTTTTAATTTGTTTCTGACATCTCCAAAACCAGTTTTGTATTATAGTATTTGCAAAAGTTAGAGTGCTGTTTACCTTAAACTCTAAACATTTACCAGCTGACACCATTAAAGTCTTCTATAATTGAAAAAACAGAGAAGGAAATGTATTTTTAAGTCTCCATACTGCTTAGGTCTTCATATAAGTAATGCTGAGTACACAGTGATAGAAGGTGTTGGCAAGAGGCTAAATTTACAAAAATAAAAACAAACGAGAATGATTTATCACTAAGAAATGAATTTCACTAATACTGCATACCAAGAACTCCCCAGTGACAATTAGTATCTGCTACATATTCTTCCAAAAACCAGGAAAATCAAGGAGATAAAGTCAGCTTAAAATTCAAAAGAATATAAAAACAAAAGGAAGCAAATACACTGGGCAGTCTCCTACTACCAGCATTCAGAGAGTAGCCCAAGTATAACATGGGAGAACAAGGCACCCGGGCGCTCACCCAGTACTGTAGACCATGGACCTCCCAGATCAGAGTGATACAAGAGGGAGAAGCAGCAGCCCTCACTGTAGCCCAAGTTGTGTGCCTGTGATGTCATGTCATTTGCAGCAGGACTCCCTCTTCCATGGGGAGCTACTAAGGAGCAGCTCTGCTCTAAAACAGGGTTTCCCGAATTGCCTCTCTCTGTAGGCTTCCCTGAGGACCAGGCATTAGAAGAACTTGCTGCTGTACCTGTACCGGAAAAGGAAAACAACAGAAGCCCTGAAGTGAAATTGAGTAACAGCTTGAAAATTCCTTTCAGCAAAAACAAAAGCCATTGTGGTGGAATTATTTCAGCTTTGCACTTGACAACTGGAGAGACCAGAATTCCTTATTAAATTAAATGTCCTGAACTTTTACTTTGAATCTCTTAATATCAGAACCAATAATCTCCCCATACAAAAAAGAAAACACACATCTATGTATTGAAAATTATTTTCCATATGGATTTTACTAGAGTTCTAAACAACACCTTCTTCAAGCAGATAAAGAAAAATAATCTTAGAGAAGCATCTCCCACACAGCTAAAATTTCAAGATTTAGGAGATTCAAAAGAAAATACAGAGTGCAGATGTGAAAAGGAAAGTGGGGTAGCTCTCTCGCCTCACACAGATTTGATGACAATAATAGTGGTTATCTTAAGAGTGACTCACAAAAATCCGCTGAGATAGGTATTAGTATTTCCATTCTATAAACAAAGAAACTGAAACACAGATAGTCCAAGGCCATGACATTGGTAAATGATAGAGCCAGGATTCAAAACCAGCTCTCTTACAAATTCCAAATCCTGAACTTATCAATGAAAAATGGATCATGCTTGTGCTCACTCGCTAAGTTGTATCCAACTCTTTGCAACTCCATGGACTGTAGCCCGCCAGGCTCCTCTGTCCATGGGATTTCCCAGGCAAGAATATTGGAGTGGGTTGCCATTTCCTTCTCCAGGGGATCTTCCTGACCCAGGGATCAAATCCATGTCACCCCTGTGTCTCCTGCATTGGCAAGAGGTTCTTTACCACTGAGCCACCAGGGAAGCCCATAAAGAAAAAGATAATAGAGCCCATAATGTTAGTAATGTACATTTATTCAACATACCTGTACTAACTGTTGTTAGAAGCATCCTATATATATCCTGCCTCTAACAAGTAAAGATAAGGTCAAAATAAAAAATTTACTTGGCATTTTAACTTCTTACAGAGCAGACATAATACTGATTCCAATCGAAGAGTAAATATCATTTCACCAAGTCTCTTAGAGTCTCTCTGTTCAAAGTGTGGGGCTTCCCTGGTGGCTCAGCGGTAAAGAATCTGCCTGCCAGCAGGAGATGGATGTTGATCCCTGGGTTGGGAAGATGCCCTAGAGAAGGAAATGGTGACTAAAGGAGGACTGAGTCTTTAAGAAGGACTCAGTGACTAAACAACAACAACAATTTAAAGTGTAATTCCAAGCCAGCAGCTTTTGGATACCTAGGAGCTTCTTAGAAATACACAGTCTTGGGCTCCACTTCAGACCTTCTGAAACAGAATCTGCATTTTTACAAGATCCCCACGTGATTTGTATGCAAATTAAAGTTTTAAGAGGCACTGACTTAAATACGGCGGGATTCCAGGTAAAGGAGTTTCTCCCATCCCTACTGAAGTCTTCTGCATTCAAAGACACCAGGGAGGGAGAGAATGGTTAAGAATGCACTCAGATTTCCTCTCTGGTTTTTAACTAAATATTCTTTTTTTTTTTTTTAGTAACAGCGTTATTGAGGTTTCATTACAGTTCATCCATTGAAGTGCACGATTCAATGGTTTTTAGCTTACTCAAAGTTGCACAACCATCACCACAATCAATTTTAGAACATTTCATCACCCTAAGAAGAAATCCCATACCCTTTAGCGGTCACCCCCTCTTTGTCTGCCTGCAATACCAGAGACCACCTGCAATGCAGGAGACCCAGGATGGACCCCTGGGTTGGAAAGATCCCCTGAAGAAGGAAATGGCAACCTACTCCAGTATTCTTTCTGGGAAATCCCATGGACAGAGGAGCCTGGCGGGCTACAGTCCACGGGGTCACGAGAGTCAGACACGACTGAGTGACTAACCACCAGCACCGTTCTCTTTGCCCCCAGCCTCAGGTCCTCGGTAACCACTAACCTACCTTCTGTCTCTATAGGTTTGTCTGTGTTGGACATTTCACACAGGTGAAATTGTACAATATAGGTCTTTCGTGATTGGCTTGTTTCTCCTCCCATGTTGGCAAGGTCCATCCATGTTGTTCAGCAGTCCGTCTTGCTCCTTCCTCTTAAGTGGCAGCTGTTCTTTTAACAGATGTGCGGGTGTCAAGCAATGTGACCTCCTCCCCCATTCCTTCCAGGGGAGCTCCTGGGTGCCACCGCTCCCCCAGAAGAAGGCTTTTTCCTTCCATCGCTAACTACCCAACTAAGGAGGCCTTTTCCAGAGTTCCCCTTTTCCATCTTTTCCCTGGGACTTAGCAGCTCAAGTACAGCTGGCCCTAGGCCAAGTTTCTCTCCACAGCACCTGCAGGCACCACCAGTGCTGCCACCTTATGCCCATTCCTTGAAGTAGTGGACACAGGGTCAGGCACTGTCTTCCTCCCGAGAGCCCAGCTCTTTGCTCTTTGCTCAGCACTCAAGGGTGTGACTCATGACAGAGTGTGACCAGGAGAGGTCGAGGGTGTGCTGTGTGGCCATGCATGCCTGGCACCTCCAAACAGCCAAAAGCCAGAGAAAGAAGCAAACGCAGATGCACTTGGGGCTAAGGGGGGCATGTTTTGCAATCTCTCTTCCTGATTCTTGGCTGTTTCTTCAGCTCCCATTTCTCTTCCTCTCCTTAGTTCACTTTCATTTCCCTACATTACTCTTCACAGAATAGGGAACCTAAACATCTTTTCCTGTTCATTTCTACCTGGATTGTTTTCTCTTGTCACTTCCAGCAGCATAACAGTTGTGTACATAGACATTTGGGTATGCTAAGTTACTTCTATAAAAAAGACAGCCAGTCTAAACATTCTGCCCTACTGAACAGCAAAACAAGGAAACGGTTTTCTGTTCTCCAAAATCAAGATGTTCTTCTTTAATGAATGAAGCTGCCCAAAGCCAAATTTTTGTTATGAAACGTAAATGATCAGTCCCAAAGAAAAACTAGCGTGATAACAAAAGCATTTTCCCTAGATGCCTTTTCCTAGATTTGGAAACTTGTCTGAGTTCATTTGGGGGCATATAGTTCCATTACAGATTGTTGCACATTGCTTAGTACTCCCTGAGTAGCCTATACGTCTCCAGGTCATTCCCTTATTCCTGGGAAAAGCTTTCCAAAAGAAGGCTTCAGGTACCTCAAGCTCTCTTGGCCACTCTATCATATTCATTCAAGAAATGCTTGGATATTGCCACATGCCAGCCCTATGCTGTATGCCAGGCACACAAGGTACCAGCTCTCACTGGGTTTTGCCCTAGAGTGGGTGGGAGGGAGGATATGTAACAGATTGCAGCCCTGACCGACCTGCCATGTGTTTGGGTGATTCCCTCACTGTGTCTTGAACAGTCCTGCTCTTCCTGAGTGAAGCAGGAAAGAAAGACCCTGAGGTCTTGGACGGCCAGGAAGAAAAGCAGATATACTCATGAGTTCCTGGCTGGTAGCCTTGCAGAATCTTCTGCTTTCAAGTTACTTTGACCCTTGAATACCAAATAACCCTAAGAGCCATAGAGGTATCTTAGAGGGTGAGAACAAGAGCATTAATGGACTTCATAATATTATTGCGTTCTTAAGCAATAGCTTATATGTATTAGGTTTAGAGGGCTCCCCTGATGGCTCAGTTGGTAAAGAAATCGCCTGCAATGCAGGAGACTCAGGTTTGACCCCTGGATTGGGAAGATCCTCTGGAGAAGGACATGGCAACCACTCCAGTATTTCACTCCAGTATTCTTGTCTGGAAAATCCCATGAACAAAGGAGTCTGGTGGGCTACAGTCCATGGGGTCACAAGAGTCGGATACAACTTAGCAACTAAACCACATTAGGCTTAGAAATTGTTCTTGTATATAATCTTTGCTAATTTGTATAGATTCATGTTATTTAGCAGTACAAATAATTTACATTGTGGGTTTGTTTGTATGATCATCCTTTAATCCTTGGGAACTCAGAACTTGGTGTCTCATAACTTTCCTATTTTCTACTCTTTTTCTCTTCTACATGGCTGGGCATACCAATGGGAACTTGTTACACTTTTACTGTTAGTCAGTTTGTAGAGGAATGCATTATTTATTCTTTCTTGCTTGGGGGGCGGGGGAGGGTCAAAGCAACCAACCAGATCTAAAGACACATTTAGAAGACCTGTCAATGTAAACAGATGTGTATTTACTCTGACTTTGCTATTATAATGTATTTTTTAACAGTTAAAAATTTCTTTTTTACTTTATTTATATTTGGCTGTGCTGGGTCTTCATTGCTCTGCAGGCTTTTCTCTAGCTGTGGTGGGCACTGTTGTCTAGTGTGATGAGTGAGCTTTTCATTGCGGTGGCTTCTCTTGTTGCAGAGCATGGGCTCTAGGGCACACGGGCTTCAGTAGTTGTGGCTCGTGGGCTCCGTAATTGTGGCTCTCGGGCTCCAAAGAGAACAGGTTCAGTAGTTGTGGTGTATGGACTTAGTTGCTCCAAGGCATGTGGAATCTTCCCAGATGAGGGATCAAACCTGTGTCTCCTGCACTGGCAGGCAGAGTCTTTTTTTTTTCTTGGCAGGCAGATTCTTTACCACACTGAGCCAGTAGGGAAGCCCTGCTGTTACAATTTAGAAAAGCTTCATTTATCTAACACCTTTGGAGAATGTGAAAATTCTGAATTAGATTTCTAAATAACTTAAATTAATTAACTAAATGAATCCTTTTAAGTACAAGATGTTTAAAAATCTGCCTTTAATAAAATATTATTTTAAATAAAACAGATGCTTGCCTTCTTGAAACACACAGCAAATACACTCCAAGCTCTTCTCATGGTCACCATTAGCATTAGGAAGTAGAGTTCGAAGTAATGCATGTTGTGCTACTGTGCTCAGTCATGTCTGACTCTTTGCAGCCCCATGGACAGCAGCCCACCAGGCTCCTCTGGGTGGAATTCTCCAGGCAAGAATACTGGAGTGGGTTGCCATTTTCTCCTCCCCCACTGGTCAAACCCGCATCTCTTGCTTCTTCTGTATAGGCAGGTAGTTTCTTTACCACTGAGCCGTCTTGGCAAATATTAAAAAACGCCAAATTCTTTGCTTTACCCCAAGTGACCCAAGGCTGGTGTGTCTTTGTGTTCTTTGATGTACTTCTTCTTTTTTTTTTTGTAATGTACTTCTAA